TAATATATATACTTTACCGTTTTTCACAATTTAGTATATAAAAATTATAAAAATACATTATATTTGATGATAAACATAGTGTTTGATGACTTGAGATTACGTGAAATCAGTCTGTTTTTATGAGACCCCTGAGACATTTTGTTACACTTCTAACTTCACGGACTTTTTTTACCTTCACATTGTTTTGCTGTGAAGTTTCAAATGTAAAAAAATGATTTTATGAGTCTCACGAAAACAACATGATCTCACCCTATTGTTGATAAGCAATCAGAAGTATAATTTACACCTTTTGAGTGGAATGCAAATCCAGTTTAATAAATGAAATTTTTTATACATATATCTGTCAACCCGAACTTGGACCTTGGTTCTGGATGCTCAGTAGTTTCATATTTCTATTCAAATAGATATTTTGTCTCTCGATCCTCTTGTAATTTTATTGGTCGTATTTGAGGTCGACATAGTAGAACATGTAAATTTGATTTCTTTTATGTTAAATCTGTTAAAGTTTCTCTAGCTAATCACCAACGAATTGTTTGTGATTTCTTCAAAGGTTGTTTTCTTTTTGTGTAAATCAGGTTCATATAATCATATTGTTAATTGTTAAGGTTCAAATTGTTTAATTTTATGTAGCTCTTTTATCTCATTTCGCAGTGTAATAAAAAACTTGATGAGTAACAGGACCTCTAAAAATATCAGAACTGTAACACCCCCTTCCCGAGACCGAAAAGGGGGTTACTTTCAAACTGAAAACAAACTGCTAACAGAAGCATACAGAGCAGTATTCAACTTTATTAAAAAAATACACCATCAATTGCCTCAAACTATACATTTTTTTTATTTCCAAAGCTTGCTTTACAGCAATAATAGGCCTACAAATGGCATCAGCGAACCTGTTATATAAGTAGATACTTGAAATCTCATACTCTTTAGTTTCCCCTTGAATACCTGTCGCAAAGAAAGAAAAGTGGTTGAGGGAAACACTCAGTACACGGATACAATGGATAAAAAAACGAAGATTCTCGAACCAAAAACCAGATAATACAAAAAAATCTGAATTTAGGCAATGAACATACTTTAAAGATGAAACTTGAAGTTCTAAGTGTACATGAAAGCCAAATTGAGTGCAACACGTACCACATCCAACTCCACAACAACATATCGAAATACCAAAAAACAAAGGAAATGAAACTAACAAAATAAATACATCCAAATTCATCAAATCAAAACAAATATTGTGAGCTAAAAGCCAAAGAAAACTCATAGAAGCAGTGTCAGACATAAGCTACATAGACACGTACATTGGACATGTACATCCAACTGTACTAAATAATGTGAGGTGCGGTGTCGGGCACTACACTGCCATCCACCCTACAAACAAATCAAATATGCTAGGGCCGACACGTACATCTCCTGAATAAAATCGCTGATCACACCATGGCCAGCTCTTATCAAAGCATAAAAATCGGAAGGAGACGCCATGGACTGATCATACCGCCACAGATGGTGTCATGCCATCAGTGCTGCAATGACGCGCCTATGTGGTTAATAGCTCGGTATACCCTAACACATAAACTACAAAAGTATGTCACAACACATGTGATCACACATAGTTGAACGAATCGTACTAATTACAAAACAAATTAAAAAGACATTTGACATACAAAACATTGATCGTTCCCTTGAAAGCTTTATATTCCCAAACAAAATTTATTTAACGAATTACGAATCAAAATTGAGTTTAAATGGTACAATTTTAGTTAATCGTTGATATAATTTGGTGTATGAACTCTTAGGCTAAGAATTTCACACTCACACCTTTTCTTAAACAGAGACATTTTTTTATTTTAGCACTTTACACGTTTAAAAATCCAACATTTTCTCATATTGGTCTATAGAACGAATATCTAAACAGAAAGAAAAAGAAAGAAACCATACGTATTCAATGAATCAAATAAACACAATTAAGTCGATAGCATTGTCATCATGCCAAAAGTATCATATGGAAACGTCATACAAAAATAAAAAACTTATATGCATTCTGTAGATAATTTTGCTCCTTTAATTCAGCATGCCCACAGTAATGTTGTGATCTGCTCCTTTCAGTATGAGAAATGTGATCGAGCGATACAACAAAGTGAGGGAGGAACATCATCGACTGCTGAATCCCATTTCAGAAGCCAAGGTATTGTTTTATAACCTTAATTCCTAATCAATTTTCTGCATCAGTACAGGCAAGATCATAGCTTTAATTAGTTTCTTTTGGTTTCATCTGCTAAGTTAACATAATGTACGTAGCATAAATAATTAATCAAGATCTTATAACTAACAAAATAGATTCATGAGCTGGTTAAGCTGGAAATCAGCTCATTTCAACACAGAGCAGCCTATTGGAGGAATGCATGAAAACTCCCGTTAATATCTGCTCATATATATAATGATCACGATTCACGGGTGTTTGATTAATTTCAGTCATTCCCATTGGAACTCATTGCACCACTTATGGAAACAAGGGCTCTAATTTATACTTGTGTGTCATGTTCTCCATAAATATATTATACAAAGAAACAAAGATAAGGAATTACTACCCTAAGCATAAACATCAACTGGAACAAACTCCATCTATTTCTGCAAGGCATGTATGTAGCAACAATCATGCTGACAACACGAAGCTCGCCATAAAACAGCGGATTGTGCTGCAAATTGACTCCCCCTTTTCTGTAACCAATTGCCCATGTCCACTGACGAAACTACTTTTTTATCCGATTGGTCTGGTGTTATTAGATATTATCTGTTTACCTTACCCCAAGAACAAAAATGAAGGTCTTTCAGCCATATTCTATTGGCTACCAACAAGAATTCTGCTCAGCTTACATTTTGTTCTACTAAAAGCCTGCAAAACGGCATTGAATGATTTCAAGTCAGAGATTGATACTTGTTGATGTTGCTTGGCAATCACACGAGTTTTGGATTGCATGATGAGGAATAGAAAATCTAGTTCTGGTACCTAAATGACACTTTTGTTGGGAAGATTAACACAACATACAAAGAATTGATAACCACAATACTGCAACTTTATTCATATA